ATGCACCCAGACCAGAAAATGAACAACAGCTTCAGTCGTATTTAGGGTTATTACATTATTATGCCAAATTCATTCCCATGCTTTCTGAAAAAATTGCTCCATTATATAGATTGCTTAAAAAAGATAATCATGATTGGTTATCGGATCAAACGGTTGACAACTGTTTCGAAAATAGTAAATTGTACTCAACTAGTTCGAATATTCTCATACCTTTCAATCCGAATTTTCCAATTATTTTGTCATGTGATGCTTCTCAGTATGGAATTGGTGCAGTTCTTGCACATATAACTCCAGAAGGATTCGAACGACCAGTAATGTATGCATCCGCGACGTTATCAAAATCAGAATTAAATTATAGCCAACTTGATAAAGAATCACTCAGTATAATTTTCGGGGTCAAGAAATTCCATAATTATTTATATGGTCGAAAATTTACTATATATAATGATCATAAACCATTACAATCTATTTTATCTCCGTCAAAAAATCTTCCTCCATTAGCTGCAGCTAGAACTCAAAGATGGGCAGTTGCTTTATCTGTGTATGATTATGTCATAAAATACAAGGAAGGAAAAACAATTCTCAATGCAGACGCATTATCAAGGTTGCCGTTGAAAAATGCTGGTAGTGGTGAAACAATAAAGTATTTTTCAGTGGCGAGAGAAATTCCACTTTCTTATAAAGATATTGCTCGAGAAACTGGAAAAGATAAAATTTTGAATAAAGTCATCGATTTTGTCAAACATGGTTGGCCAAATCAAAACCAATGTGGTGACGATTTATAACCATATTACAAAGTTGAAGAATATCTCAATTTAGATATGGATCGTTTGACCTATCAATATCGTGTTATTGTTCCTTCACAATTGCGTATGCCAGTATTGAATTTGTTACATGAACAGCATCCAGGAATAGTCAAAATGAAGATGTTAGCGAGACAACATGTATACTGGAACAATTTGAATAAAGATATAGAAAGTATGGTAAGAAAATGTGAATGCTGTCAATTAATGATTCCGAATGTCTCTGATGCACCTATGACGTCATGGTCTTGGTGTGCTAGAAAATGGCAAAGACTACATCTAGATTTTGCCAAGAAAAATAATATAACTTTTCTGTTTCTAACTGATGCAGGTAGTAAATGGGTTGATGCTTGGATTCTGAAATCAACTACTGCCAACGATGTTATTGCATGTTTGCGTAAAACTTTCGCAGTTTTTGGGTTACCAGATGAGATTCATTCTGATAATGGTCCACCATTCAATTCTGAAGAGTTTGTTAAATTTTGCATTTCACATGGAATTAAAGTATTGAAATCTCCTCCTATTCATCCGAAATCAAATGGGATCGTAGAAAGATGCATTCAGACCTTCAAGAACAATTTGATGAAACAAATTTTTCATGAGGCATCAAGCAGACAGATTACTGATCAGGAAAAATTGGACAATTTTCTATTTTTTTATCGTAATATTCCACATAATTTGACACAAATATCTCCAGCTAAACTAATGTTGAAACAAAAGCCAAAAACGAGAATGACAATGTTGAAACCAAATTTTGAAAATTATGTTCAAAATAGACAAACTAGGATTGTAGAGAATAAAAATAACCATTGTGACTCAGATGATTCTCGACAATTCGAGGCAGGTGATAAGGTATATGTCAAGAATGTTAGAGAAAGAGATAAATGGAGTACTGGAGAGGTGAAAGTTAGAGTTAGTCCAGTTACTTATATTGTAATGGTTGGAAATCAAGCACGATATTTGCATATTGATCACTTGAGAAAAAAATGTAATAGTTTGATTTCCAATCAAAATAGTTCAGATTCGACACTTGAACGAGATAATAATAATGAACAAGAAGGAAAGCAGTTGGGGAGATCGCCTCGGTTGAGTTGTATCTGATTTGTTATGTGATGTTCTCGTTTTAAGGGGAAAGATATGTTATATAATGAGCAGAACACTTTGTATGAAAAGTGGTCTGTCAGTAGAGAGATACATGTCAGTCAGGAAATGTCTAGTACTGTCTACTTCATGTTATAATCGATGTATCATAATTCTCTCAATAAAGGTGTTACTGTGAACCCGTGTACGTGTTGTTAAAGTCCGTAAGAAATACACAACATTTTGGACATCCACTGTTATGATTGCGCACTATCTTGCCTGTCTATCCTCCGCTTTCTGAAGTACCCATTTTACCGCGTCCAGTGTTGACCTCTTTTTACGGAAACCAAACTGTTTTTCCGATATGCCATCTTATTCTTCCAGTTCTATATCTAGGCGGTCCTTGATGACGTGTTCTGCTAGTTTCCCTAGCACCGATATTAGGCATATGGTCCTGTATTTCTCCTCAGGCTTGGGGATCAGAACCACTCCAGCTTTTTTCCAAGCATCTGGGAAGTCCTGGGTGTTGACCACCCGATTACCTAAATCTAGGACAATTTGTGGGGCTTTATCGATTGCTTCCTTTATACTTCCCGCTATGATACCGTCTGGGCCTGGAGACTTGTTGGTCTTGAGTTTCACGCCTGCATTGATCAATTCCTGCAGCGTTACCTCTGGGGCCTATCATACATTGTTTTCTGGGGTCCATGTATCTTCCTTGTGTGGGAATTGCCTCTGCAATCTCCAGTTTCTGATCGATATCTATGTCATATAGAGAACCGTTTCCCTTCAGTTGGTTTGTGGCAATTCTATATCCCTGTCCCCAAATGTCATTTTCCAGCTCCTCACATACTTGGTTCCAGTGTTCCTTCTTTGATTTCCTCATTTCCCTCTTCATAAGTTTTTTCTTCTCCTTATATTCAAGGTGCACCTCCTCTATATTTCGGGTATTTCTTTTCCTGGCTATAGTGATCCTTCTCCTGATTTCGTTGCACGCAGTCTTCAATTCTTGAATGGTATGGTTCCAACAGTACGGCTTTGTCTCTAATGGTGCCCGTGCCCTCTGATTAAGTGAGGCGTCCTGTACTATTCTTAATTTTTCCGTGAATCTACTATGGTCTGGGGATTCATCTTGTTCAAACAGTAGTTCAAAGGCTGTGCGAAATATTTCCTTATCAAAAAATGGTTTTTCTTTAAGCTGTGGTCTTGTTTGTCTCTTCTTCCAATACCTCCCATCCTGTAATTCGTTGTTGAACGAGGCAATTTGATCCGATTGCCAGTTCTATAAATGAAGTGCTATCTCTCCTCACGAAGGTTGGCTTATCCCCTTTGTTTGCTTCTGCCAGATCTGGGAAGGCCATCCATTCCGTTATACAGGGTCGCTGATATGTATGGAAACAGGTGAATATCTCGGCAATCTGTTGTTAAATTTTTTTGAATTTATGTAAAGTGTGATTTCAAAACGTGGCGGATTTGAAAATGTTATAGCCTCTGTTGCCACTTTTTCAGTTATTCCGGATTTTTAGTAACTTCCTTATTTTGAATGAAACACCCTGTACTTTATTGGATTTTCAGATTCTCCTTGAAGAGCTGATTCCATCGATCTATCACACTTGGGGTCGAGCGGAAATGATTACATAGGTATAGGGTGTTTAAAATCTAGGTTTTTCAACTTCAAGATTTTTTTGTGTAGAAACTATCCATTATCGATCAAAACCGCTTCAATGTTCCTATCTTCACTTTTGATTTACCATCTACTGACTATTTAATTGGAACAGATACAGAGGGTGATCAGAATTCTGAATCTTGAACCACCCTGTATTTGTTTCAATTAAATGTCAGTAGATAGTAAATCAGAAGTGATGATGGGAACATTGGAGCGGTTTTGATCGATAATGAATAGTTTCGACACAAAAAAATACTGAAGTTGAAAAATCTAGATTTTAAACACCCTATACCTCGCCCTATACCTATGTATTCATTCCTGCTAGACCCCAAGTGTGATAGATCGATGAAATTAGCTCTTCAGGGAGAATCTGAAAATCCAATAAATTACAGGGTGTTCTATTCAAAATAAGGAAGTTAATAAAAAATCCGGTATAACTGAAAAAGTGGCAACATCGGCTATAAAATTTTCAAATCTGCCACGTTTTGAAATCACACAGTACATAAATTCAAAAAAATCCAACAACAGGTTACCGAGATATTCACCTGTTTCCATACATATCAGCGACCCTGTATATTCTCCTCTCCTTCTCCCCCCGATAATGGAGATTTGGCGTTCAGGTCCCCGATGAGTAGAATGTCTTTTCTCTCCTGGTTAATGTCAATCATGATTTCGTCGATTTTGTCTTCAAAGGTATTTATAGCTATGTTCGGAGAAAGATAGCAATTATACAGAATCCAATCGTTGAAGTGAATCGTTGTGAAGCCCTTGTGGCACTTATGTTTTTTTATGCCTTTATTCCTATTTATGCAGTAGCTTGCTACATTTATCCCCTCGTCATGTATCTATTTATTATTTTTTAATTCTGTTTTTATTTGGTTCCTGTGAACATATGAGGTCATATTTCAGTCTTGTTGCTGTCTCAAACGCTGCATCATGTGCAGCTCTGACTCTGTCCACGTCTATTTGGAGTATTCTAAGCTCTTTAATTGTTGCTTCGTGTGCCCCTGTTCGACGCGGTGGGTCTTCGCTCTCCTTCTATCAGAGCTCTGAACTTCGGGCATCGTGTGGTACCCGCCCTATGGTTTTGGTCCCCACATTCCAAGCATCTTGAAGTTTCCTGGCAGTCCCTGGCCCTATGTCCGGTTTTGCCGCATTTCAGGCATATTCCCGATTTGTCGGTTCCTTTACAGCTATTTTGCGAGTGGCCAAATTCCAGACAGCAATAACACCGTGGTATATTTACTCTCATTCTTATTTTGCATGTCCTCCAGCCGATTGCAATGTAGCCATCTCCAATGATGTCTCTGGCCACAAGATAGTTTTCAGCAGCAATTGTTGCCGTCTGATTTCCAAATCTGCCCTGTCTGAGTTCTTTTATGTAGAAGGTTCTTTCATCAATTTGTGGTCTACTTCTCTGGATGTTTTCTTCCAATTGAGTTTCATTCAAATCAATCTGCATCTTTTCTTCTGACGTCTATAGCATAGTTTGGCTCTTTTGCTTTTATTGCTTCCATGAGCCTTTCGGATTTCTCTTTCCCTCCTTCTACCTCGAGCATAAGATCTCCTTTCATCGTTTTCCTGATCTGTTTTATTTTCACTCCTTCCTGCTCTATATTAACGCTAGCTTTAACTGCTTTCAGGGGATCGGAATATTGCATTCCGTTTGCTTTTATTATTATTTTATCATCAGGTCGCCGATATCTATTTATTTTCCTCCTTTTCGGTTCCCTCCTTAATAGGGTTATTTCCATTTCCTCTTTCAAGAATGCGTATACACGCCATTTCCTGCATATGTCCTCCTCTAGGTTCTCCGCCGCCCAGATTGTCACCTTTTCCTCCCCTTGAGCATTCATTTTGTCTCTAAGCGCATATAAAATGTCATGCAAATCCTTGGGGCTTATCTCATCTGCAGTTTCCTTCACCGGCAGGATATACTTCCACCCCAGCTACTTGTAACCTCTGATACATTCTGGATGTATTCGACCTCTCCTCCGATAAGACCTTCATCTATCAGCTTACCAACTTCGGGGCATCTATCCAGCACTTCTCTCATGCTTTCCTCTTCCTTCTGAGTGTTAACTTCAAGTATAATTGCCAGGTCGGAATTCTGGTTTTGGTTTGGGATTGGTCCATATGTTACTTTAGTCCTATAGATTTCTCCGGGCCAGTCCATATCAAGGACAGTAGCTAGCTTATCATAGCCCTCGTGTTGACTCAGTGCCTTCCGTATAAGGTTTCCCTCTTTTATTCTCTTCAATTCTATATCTTGCTTCATGTCTTCCCCTGAAACTTGAGTTCCGCAACTGGCTTTTTCCACTAATTTGTCTAATTTAGTTGTATTTTGACTAGCATTTTCCTCTTCTAGGGTCGGAGGCCCGTCCGGTTTCTCTTCTTTCTCGTCCACTTTGCCTCTCGGCAATGGAGTCTGTTCCTAGTCTCCAAGGAACGTGGATCCTCTTTTAAGTTTATTCACTATTTGGTCTAACTCCCTGGATATAACCTTGATCTCCACCTTTGTATTGATGTTGCATTTAGTGAGCTTCAGTAGCTTCGCGCTTTTCTCTACCAGGTTATCAATTGTTACCTGGAGCGCTTCAATTTTCTTGTTGCTTTCTCTCAAGGGCACGTCCTCCCCCTTCTTTGGTGACTCATTTCTCCCTTCTTTTACTTGGCCTCCATACCGCATTTCCGTCCTCTCCTTCCTCCCTGTCCTGTGTTCCTAGTGCCTCTGGAGTTAGATTCTTGTCCTCGTTTACAAGAGCCTCGAGAGACTCTACCATTTATTTCTCCTTGTTCCTTACTGGAGTGTCGAAAGACAATGCATCTACTGGTTCCTGTTCTGCTACCCTCTCGACTCTAGGTGCTTTTGTCGACGTTCGCGCCAGCGAATTTCTTCTTGCTGAAGGATCTTCCACCTTTTCCCAATCGTATTTTGGTGTATTTTCTTGATCATCCATTTTATGTCCCACGAGTTGGGTCGTCATATCTATCCGGCAGGGCAGTGCGCCCTCACCCTGCTAAGGCTTCTCTACTCCAGGAGGTCGCCGCTTTCCCGGAGGCTCCGTTTGTGACCAACTGTCGCATGGCCATTCACCCCTCGGCACGGATCGCATAACACCTTGCGTTTCGGATTTTCTCAGGTTTTCTCCTGTTGAGCTGTCCTTAGCTTCACCGCTCCACTTTGACTTTACCGGCATGGGTGGCCCTACCAGGAGTAAACACTACCGCCGGCATTGCTTGCAGATTTATTGCGGCTACTGAGCCCCCTTACCTCGTCAAGGTTACACAGCTCCTTGGGGGGAACCTAACCTAACCTAACCTAACCTAACCTAACCTAACCTAACCTAACCCAACCTTTTTTTTTTTTTTTTTTTTTTTTTTGTGGGGGGAAATCGCTTGACACCTCGGCCTTGTTGTCAATCAGCCAAGGTAGTGTCGGGCGCTACTCCGACTAAAACCCCCCTTCGCCCTCTCCCTTCCTGGAATTGCCTGTCAAGACAACACATCAGGTAAGAGCGGCGTAGTCCATTACTTCCTTTATAACATACTTCATTTGTTGTAGACGTTCACTGTGCACCCTCTTGTTGTCTATCCCTTTCTTCACTTTCTTTTTTTTTCATAACTGCGTTTAAGAAGTCTACCCCTATCCTCCAACTCCGCGGGTCCGAAATCATTTTTCTAATTAGCTGTGCTGGAGATATCTCTATACCCAGCCCTAAAGCCAACCTAGTCCTCTCGCCTATCCACCTAGGGCAGTCAAAAAGAGTATGTTGGGGGTCGTCCCTTTCGTTGCAGTATATGCAATTTTCATCTGTTGCTTTGCCTATTTTGTGAGTGTAGGTCCTAAACGATCCATGTCCGCTTAGCGCCTGCGTGACGAAGTAGTCTATGTCTTTATGTTTGCATGCCAACCATGGTTCCAGGTCAGGGATCAGCTTTTTGGTCCATTGCCCTTTTGTGGTGTTATCATTCCATCTTTTTTGCCAAGCCTCTCTCGTTTTGATCTTCTCCTCTCTTTTTGCTAAATCATCGACTTCTCCTCTGTTATTTAGCGCCACTCTTTCTTTCACTAGTAGTTCCATCGGTGGTACCGAGGTGATCACACAAAGCGCTTCGCCTGAAACAGTTCTATAAGCCGAGGCCACCCTCAAAAGGGCTTTCCTCTGAGTTGCCTCTATCATTTCCCTGTACTTTGCCACCCTCATGGCTTCACCCCAAATTGGAGCAGCGTAGAGGATGGTTGATTGTACTACCCCGTATATGATCCTTCGCTTGTGTGAACTTGGGCCTCTTATATTGGGCAATATTTTGTTAAGCGCCGCTGTCTGTCTGGCAGCTTTTTCCGTAGTTTTTCTCACGTGTTCGTTAAAAATTAATTTATCATCTAGCCATATCCCTAGATATTTCATAAATTTTTGGGGTATGATTACCGCGTTTCCGATTCTAAAAGTTATGTCATCCCTTTTCCTGGGACCTTTTATTATGATTGCCTCCGTCTTTTCTGGAGCTACTTCCAGGCCATTTTCACTCATCCATGCATTTATAGATTCTAGACTTCTATTTCCATTAGACATCAGAGTGTCCTTCTTCTTCGCTTTCACTATCAAAGCCAAATCATCCGCATATGCAGCTGTGTGGCAATCTAACCTAATCTAACCTAACCCAACCTAACCTAACCTAACCTATTCTAACCTAACCTAACCTAACCTAACCTATTCTAACCTAACCTAACCTAACCTAACCTAACCTAACCCAACCTAAGCAAACCTAACCTCTTTTTTCTTTCGTCCCAGGAGGAGGAAACCGCTTGGCACCAGAGCGACGGAGTCATTGGCTCTGGTAGTGTCGGGCGCTACTCTGACTAAAACCTCCTCCCTACCGTCACCCAAGTCCGGGACTGTCTTTTTCGACATAGCATCAGACTCGAGCGTAGTATCCTACTTCCTGTGGTTCAATATATTTCATGCGTGGCGGCCCTGTCCTTATCACTGTGTCGGGCTACACCTGAGTGCATGTTCCCATATTTCCGGCTACTTGTTTCTCCTCTCCGTTGGGACCAGATAGGCGCAAGGAGTTTATTTGCCGATCGCGTGTTCCCTGAGTCCTTTGGAAAACTCCTGCTGCCTTCAGCGGACGGTCGCTGCCCTGTCATCCACGCACTAGACGTATAGGTCGCGCTTCTTTTTAGCTGTACTGTACACAAACATCATATCACAAACTATTGTAAGAACACCCTACACTAGCAAATGAAATATCACACATATCATATGACAATATATTTTACGAACACCCTATACTAGCAAAAGGAATATCACAGATCTTTATCACTACCTGTTTATCACAGCTCGTCTATCACCTTCCGAAGGCTACCCTTGAAGGGCTTCCGCCGCCTGCATCTCGCGTTCCTCACCTTCTTTCCCTTCCATGATCGTGCTCATGAGTATGAATCCTGCTTCACATTTCTTTGGGTCTGATATCATCACTCCGATGATGTGGTCGGCGTCTGGCACCATTCCCATTTCGGTTTCAGCGATCTGTCGTTCTCTGGCTCATCTGGGCCGTGGTGCTATTCTGATCCCAGGCTTCCTGTCATCGTCTCATGGTAATACTTTTCTCGGCTGCTCTCACTTCTTGAGTCGGGTTCTGGTTTGTCGCTACCCTGGTTCTTTCTTCCATCAGGAGATCAATCGGCGGTATCGCCGCTATGGCGTTCATCGCTGCCCCAGAAACCGTCCGGTACGCCATTGCTACCCTGAGTAACATCCTTCGCTGCGTGGCTAACATCATTCCACGGTATTTCGCTACCCTCATAACCTGTCTCCATACCGGAGCTGCATAGAGCAGCACAGACTGTACCACCTCATATAAAAAACCCTTCTCTCAAAATAGCAAGGTCCTCTGGTATTCGGCAGGACCTTTGTGACACTCTTACCTGTCTGTTGGCCTTTCCGCATGTGCGCATGTGCGCATGTGCGCCTGATATGCTCATTGAAGATTTGCATGTCGCCGAGCCACACCCCCAGATATTTTACGAACTTCTTGGGAGTGATCTCTGCACCTCTCAAGTTGAATCTTACCCCGTCGCACTTCCTTGCCCCCCTGACTATTATGGCATCCGTTTTCTGTGGTGCAATCTCTAGGCCGTTCTCCTCTGTCCACCTCCCGATGGCAGCTAGACCCTGGTTCACCTTCTGTACCAGCTCCTCCTTCCTGCTAGCCGTGACTAAGAGTGCCAGGTCATCGGCGTATGCCACTGTTGTACAACCTTCTGGGAGTCTTACCTTCAAGATACCGTTGTACAGTATATTCCACAGCGTAGGTTCGAGCACGGACCCTTGCGGTACACCCTGCGTGAGTGCCATTTCCTTCTTGCCCGAGCAGCCTCCGACCCTTCAGATAGTCCTTCAGCACGAGACGCAAATGCTTACTGATCAGCATCCGCCTAAGCTCCCTGATGATCAGGTGCCACTTGGCTGTATTGAAGGCGTTCTTGACATCGACCATGATGGCGGCAGCCCATGTCTTCCGGCCCCTGTTGGCTTCGCTAAGTAAGCGGCCCACCGCGCCAACTGTGGATTTTCCGGATCTGTAGCCGAACTGGGTGTCAGGGATGGCTGCTCTCATCTCCAGCTCCTTCTCTAGAACAGCCTTCAGTAGGTACTCATATACTTTGCATAACCCATCTAGCAGGCATATGGGCCTGAACTTTTCCTCCTTCCTCGGATCCCCCGTTGGGATCAGAATTGCTTTGCCATTGCTCTGGGAAGATACCGCGCTCGAATAGGCTGTTTAAGATCCCAAGGATCTTTTCTGATATAGCCTCCAGGAAGCACTTGACAGTTTAGAGCAGGATTCCGTCTGGTCCTGGTGACCTTCTGTTCTCGAGCTTTTCCATAGCAGCTTTCAGGTCCTCTCTAGTGAACAGGGTTGGCGGCGCGTTTGCCTCCTCCACATTTTCACCAGTGTCTACCTCGACCGTGCTAGGAAATAGCTTCGTCATGATCGTTTCTCTGCGGGCGCCATCCATTTCGTACGGAGCCCTGAAGCCTTTAATGTCCCTAGCGACAATCTGATATCCCTGGCCCCACGGGTCGTCCTCCAGTCTGTCGCAGAGCCTTCTCCACTCCTCCCTTCGTGCCTTAGTAATCTCGTTCCTGAGCCTCTTCCAGGCTTCCTTGAACTCCTCCTCCATAGCCTCGATCCGTTCCTGCCTTGCGTCAGCGCGGCTGCGTAATCTGGTAAGCGCTCTTCTGGCCTGGTTGCAGTTCTGTCTAAGCCTCTGTATGGTGTAGTTCTACCACACAGGCTGTTCCTCTACTGTCCCATCCCCATTGCGCGCCTTGCATGCCTATTGTGCGTTCTTCGCGGCTCTGGTTAGCGCCTGGACATCCGTGATGCTGTCCTGGTGTGATATCAGGGAGTTAGCGATTGCCACTAAGTCGAGTCTTCTTTCTCGTACATGTTCTGCTCGCCTGGCTATTGATCCTTCCTTGACTCTGAACAGTATGTATTTATGAAGGCTGCCGCCCTCCTCTGCAGCCACCCTCCAGTCCAGTATCTTAGGAGAAATCTGGTTAGTGGAAAATGGTCAGGTCCAGAGTTGACCCTTGGGCTGCCCTGACGAATGTTGGCTCACCCACAGCGTTATGTACGTTCAAATTCGCCGCGTCTAGCCACTCCTCCATAAGGCTGCCCCTAGTGTCGGTTGCACCGCCCGTCCACAGGCTGGACTTGGCGTTGAAATCCCCTACTATAACCGCCTCCTTCCTATTGTCTCTAATGTGCTGCTCAAGCCAGTCCAAGTATGTTTGGAACTCTGCAATGGCAGTGTTGGGAGAAATGTAGCAGATTTATAGTGTCCATTTGTCAAATTGCAGGCAGATGAAACTCCTCCCGGCCACGTGTCCAATTGCTTCGCTTCGGTTTCTACACCATGTTGCGGTATTCTCTTGCAAATCCAACATCCATCACGTGTCGGCCCGCACAATAGCGTGGTTAGGCTCCTGGATGAGGATCAGGTCCGCGTCAACTTCCTCCGCCATCCTCCTTAGGAGGTGATGAGCTACCCTTCTCCGGTCAGCGTTTATCTGTAGTATCTTCATTTTACGGGTGGGGGCGGTCTGTCCTCTCCTTTCTCCGTTGCTCCACCAAGGCTCTGAAGGCCGGACACCTGATCTGGTCACTTCTGTGCCCCTCCTGCTTGCAGCTGACACAATAGGGTTCCCTTATGCAGTCTCTAGCCCTATGGTCCTCCACTCCGCATTGGATGCAGCATTTGGACCTTTCCTCCTCTCTGCACTCTCCAGTCCTGTGTCCAAACTCCAAGCATCGGAAGCACCTGCCCACACGTACTCTCTCGCGTACCTTGCAGAGGATCCAGCCTATATCCAGATATCCATCACTAAGTACAGCCCTGGCCATATCAGGGGGAACCTCGGCCGTTGCCAATAGCTCCTCGTAACGCCCTTTCCTAACGGAGGTGACTGAAACCGCCTCCGGCGCCATGCCCGATGCGGCTCCCAGCGCACTCGCTATGTCGTCCTTGAATGTATTCACGTCCATGCCGGAAATCATGACCATGACCGCGTTCGGCATATTGGCTTTCATCCCGGTGTTCCGGTTGACCCTTGCCCTCAATGCGCTGACCTGGCTGTCCCCACCCTCCACGCTGATGAGGATATGCCCCGCTGCTGAGCGTCTGGCCCTAGTGACTCGGATCCCTCTCCCGTCTCCCAGCTCCTTCCCAACTTTCTTGACTAGCTCTCAGTAGGATTTTCCATCCCCCCGGACCGTTACCGTTCCCGTTTTGTCCTTGCTTCCCGACGTCCGTGGGGCTGAGGAGATAATGACGATCTTTGTGTTCGAGAGTCTGAACGCCGACTCCATCACCTCTCTAATATGATCTTCGTTCAGTCCTGGGGGGAGTGCTATGCGGATTTCACCTCTAGCCGTCTTCGCGGCCATCTCTCTGAGCTTGGACGCGGCCCCATGTAGGTGTTCGAGGTTTAGCTCTGGGTCCTGCCTTGTAGGCACCATAAAGATGTACCTAGTATTGTCGCTATCTTCGCCTCTGCTAGTCTTGATTTTGCTATCGTCAAGCACGTACTCGACCTCTCCCTCCTCACACTCCTTATCCAAGTTGGCCATCACAGGAAACCTCTCCTTGACTCCCTTAAGGTATCTCTCCTCCATTCCCTTGGGACCAAAATTGCCGTGTCCCCTCGGGCGCAGGCTTCTGCCAGACTGCTAGTTTCGACTTTAGTCGCCCTGTAAAAGTCTTCCGATCATTCCTGGTAAAGCCAGCTCTTCAGTTTCCCGATGCTTCCTAGGTCTTCTTTCGTCACTCCATTCTCCTTTTTCCGCTTCTTTTCTTCCTCCTCGATGCGTTGTTCATACTCCTCGAGCTCATTGCTGATCGTTTCCGACATCTCTGACAAGCTCTACCAGCGCTCTGCTTGTTTGGGCTAGTCGCGATATGGCCACCTTGATGGCTGCTGTTCCTTCCTCATTCTTGGCTTTCTTACTATCCTTTGGACTGTCCTCGGATCTTTTCCTCTCAACGATCTTGTCTCTCGCTTTTCTCTCCCTCTCTTGGGCTTTAGAGGCGTCGAAGTCTTCCTCAGAGAGGACCAGAGAAGTCAAATAGTTCCTTTCAAACACTATCCTCTTTCTGTTCTCCTCTTCCTTCACCGGGAAGACTTCCCCGCTCTCCATTTGTTCCCTTAAGCTCTGTTCATATGCCTCTCTTCCCTCTCTGTCACTTGTCTTGGTATCTCTATTCCTAATACCACCTGTGCTCTTCTCCCCGTTGTCTTTTCCATTCCTAGGTGGAGTGAATACCTCTGCCGTAGTTCCCTCCGTCTCTCCCTCTTCCTGGAGGGCACTAAAAATGTTCCCTTGTTTTCTAATGTTAGTTTCCAGCTGATCCCACGAGTAGCTAGGGATGTAGTCGGTCCGCTCCTGCAGAGGCCTGCTTGCAGTAGTAAGGCATCCACCCTGCCGGTTTGCCTGGTCCAGCGGGCATCGCTCGCGGCACACTATTTCATCCCTGTGCCATGCACCCCGTCGGCGCGATGGTGCTTCACCTTGGGGTTGGGAAACGCGGTAGCCAAGGGTTGGCCAAGTGGAGAGAGGCACAGCCGCTTCCCCTGTGAACGTGTGAAGAAATTTGCCGAGATTGGCGAGAAGAGGAAGGAATACAGCTGCAAGAAGTTTGCCAAGATAGGCTAAATGGAAAGGATGTAGGTGAAAGGAACCTCATTCCAGACGAGTTGAAGAAAGGAGAGGTTCAACTGGGATTTCCAGGAGTCGCCGCCTCCTACATGCATCATAATGTGCCCTTACAGAGTTTATTTTATCGAGGTTGACTCCTCTAGATCCGTAGTGTTCTTTAAGAGACAGGCCGACCTCGAGTAGGGTGTACTCCGGTGAAGCACGCACTACGGCCTTGCTAGCGTAGAGGCTTTACTTTGCGCATATCGCTAGCCTGGGTGATGCCCTTCGGCCCATCCCAACCTAACCTAACCTAGTCTAACCTAACCTAGCCTAACCCAACCTAACCCAACCTAACCTAACCTAACCTAACCTAACCTAACCTAACCTAACCTAACCTAACCTAACCTAACCTAACATTTTTTTTGGGGTGGTGGGGGTGGAAACGCATCATGTGCACCAGTCGCTTGTTGTCTATCGTGAACTGGTGGTGCCGGACTCCTACTGGCTAAAACCACCCCCTTGCCTTCCCTACATCTGGCACCGTCGTTGAGAGACATCGGCCTATCCTAACCTAACCTAACCTAGTCTAACCTAACCTAACCTAACCCAACCTAACCCAACCTAAACCAACCTAACCTAACCTAACCTAACCTAACCTAACTGTTATGTATTTGTATACTTGTGATCGAAATCATAAAAATGACTCTGTATGTTTACGTCAGTCAGAATGATATATAAAATAAAAATAATTCAATGTCAATCATCGATTTTGAATATCTTCGATATAATATTTGGCGACGAGGAATAAAGAATAGATTCAACTGATCCAAATCAAATTGATACCTACTTCAGAGAATCGAGAAGAGAAACACCAATTTTGGAATTTTCATCGATATTTATTTCATATCAAACGAAGATGTCACAAGATTTAGCACCTCTTATAACTGCTCTCAGTGGATTGGTAAATAGCTAACAGCAACAACAGCAGCCCCAAAATACTATAAGAGATATCCTACAGAATCAGATGATAACTTTCGAACCATTTGATAATTCTGCCGAAAACTTTGATAGCTACTGTCAGAGGTTGGAAAATTTTTTCAAATTGAAGGGATTATACAAGGATGATGTTGAGACCAATGAAGCGAAGGTGATGGTCCTAATCAATTGTCTAGGAAGTAGACATCATAAATTACTATCCAGTTTAACATCTCCGGACTTACCAGCTAATAAAACCTACGATGAATTGATAATTTTATTAAAAAATCATCTTGCTCCGAAATAGAATATATTGACCGAACAACATAAGTTCTTCTCAAGAATTCAGTCTCCTGTGGAATCGATTTCTACCTATGTAGCTGCTTTAAAGGATCTAGTCAAAACCTGCGACTTCAAATCAGAATGTAATGATGGTAAATGTTCTAAATCAGTTATCAATCTACTTTTAAGAGCACAAATCATCCGTGGATTATACGATACAGATATTCGTGAAAAAATCCTACAACAAGCTGATATATCACTGGAAAAAACACTAGAAATTGCACTGGCTATAGAAGCATCGAAAATTCAAAATAGAAAAATGTATCAAAGTTCTACTAGCAGCGTCCAAAGGCTCGAAACCAAATCAAATTTTCGGAGAAACAGTAGTGAATCCAGATCTATAAATCACAGAAATCGTCATGATTCCAGAAGCAACCAAAGAAAATCACATCAAAATGTCGATTTCGAAAAATTGGGTTTATCAAATGTTTGTCTACGATGTGCCAAAAATAATCATCAAACTCAAGACTGCACAGCCACACATAAACTTTTTTGCAAGCTCTGTAAAAGGAAAGGTCATATATCCAAAGTGTGTATCAAATCATCATTAAGAAATTCAAGAAATTCAAACGTTCAATGCATAGATGATGCCACAGATTCTTCACAAGAATTTTCTATAAATCAAATAATTGATATTTTCTCATCATCCCTTTATGAACCAAAAATGATGCTCAACATCAAAATCAATGGAAAACCTTTCGAATTTGAATGTGATACGGGTAGCCCAGTAACAATCATGTCACAAAAAGACTTGGATGCATTGAAAATTTCTGTTCCTATCAAGAAAACAAACGTTTGCTTCAGGTCTTATACCAAACATATATTTAAACCATAAGGGTTTGTTCAGGTCAACGTTTCATTCAAAGATAAAGAATTCAAAGGAGATTTATACATAGTATCTAACTATGGTAGTGCGATTTTGGGACGACGTTGGGTTCGAGCACTGAATATCAATCTAGAAGATGTTGAAGCAATAGATTTTCAACCAACAGTCGATGAAATTCTGAAAGATTTTGAAGACGTTTTTCAACCGAAAGTTGGGAAAATTCCTGATTTCAAGTGTAACTTGTTATTACAACCTGATGCAAAACCAATTTTTCTCAAACCGAGACGAGTACCTTATGCCTTACAAGAAGTAGTGGATCAAGAATTGGACTCACTCGAAGAACAAGGAATAATCGAGAAAATGGATCACTCTGAATGGGGCACACCACTAGTTATTGTTCCAAAGAGTGGAGGAAAAGTAAGACTTTGTGCAGACTACAAGGTGACAGTCAATAGTCAATTACAGAATAATCGATACCCTATTCCCATGATAGAAGACATTTTCCATAAAATGAAGAACGGAAAATATTTTTGTACTCTAGATGTTTATAAGGCATATCTTCACCTTGATGTTAACGAAGAGAGTGCAAAAATTCAAGCTTTATCTACACACAGGGGAACATATCTGGCAAAACGTTTATTTTTTGGAATCAAGACTGCTCCGAACGAGTTTCACAGGGTTATCGATCAGATACTGCAAAATTTAGAAGGTACCACCGTATATTTCGATGATATTTTGATTCAAGGTTCAACAATTGAAGAATGTAAGCTCCGTCTCTGATATATCCTCCAGGGCGCACTTGACAGTTTCGAGCAGGATTCCGTCTGGTCCTGGTGACCTTCTGTTCTTGAGCTTTTCCATAGCAGCTTTCAGGTCCTCTCTAGTGAACAGGGTTGGCGGCGCGTTTGCCTCCTCCACATGTTCACCAGTGTCTACTTCAACCGTGCTAGGGAATAGCTTCGTCATGATCGTTTCTCTGCGGGCGCCATCCATTTCGTACGGAGCCCTGAAGCCTTTAATGTCCCTAGCGACAATCTGATATCCCTGGCCCCACGGGTCGTCCTCCAGTCTGTCGCAGAGCCTTCTCCACTCCTCCCTTCGTGCCTTAGTAATCTCGTTCCTGAGCCTCTTCCAGGCTTCCTTGAACTCCTCCTCCATAGCCTCGATCCGTTCCTGCCTTGCGTCAGCGCGGCTGCGTAATCTGGTAAGCGCTCTTCTGGCCTGGTTGCAGTTCTGTCTAAGCCTCTGTATGGTGTAGTTCTACCACACAGGCTGTTCCTCTACTGTCCCATCCCCATTGCGCGCCTTGCATGCCTATTGTGCGTTCTTCGCGGCTCTGGTTAGCGCCTGGACATCCGTGATGCTGTCCTGGTGTGATATCAGGGAGTTAGCGATTGCCACTAAGTCGAGTCTTCTTTCTCGTACATGTTCTGCTCGCCTGGCTATTGATCCTTCCTTGACTCTGAACAGTATGTATTTATGAAGGCTGCCGCCCTCCTCTGCAGCCACCCTCCAGTCCAGTATCTTAGGAGAAATCTGGTTAGTGGAAAATGGTCAGGTCCAGAGTTGACCCTTGGGCTGCCCTGACGAATGTTGGCTCACCCACAGCGTTATGTACGTTCAAATTCGCCGCGTCTAGCCACTCCTCCATAAGGCTGCCCCTAGTGTCGGTTGCACCGCCCGTCCACAGGCTGGACTTGGCGTTGAAATCCCCTACTATAACCGCCTCCTTCCTATTGTCTCTAATGTGCTGCTCAAGCCAGTCCAAGTATGTTTGGAACTCTGCAATGGCAGTGTTGGGAGAAATGTAGCAGATTTATAGTGTCCATTTGTC